CCGCTGAAAGACAAAGAATGTTAAATTAACACACACAGTTCAAGTCACTATAGCACAGATATGAGGAAATGAAATGGACAATAGGATATTTGGAGATGTCTCTATGGTTTAATGGGAAGCAGAAATAATACAATTTGCTCTTGTTTCCATGGAAAGCCTTCAGTGCAGTCAACTTATTGTTTTGAAGTTGCCATTCATACCAGATACAGGAAACATGGCAACATTTGCTCTAATTGATCTTGTGCAGACAAGACCTTCCTACTGCAAAGCATCATAGAACAAAGTACAAGATGGTAGATGTGTCTTCTCCTATACTGCATGGGGATTGATTTAATGATGGATTATCGTGCCAAGTAGCACCACCCTTTGAAATCTCTTGGATAGTGCTTCAAAATACTAAGCAGAAGTACACCATGAAGTAGATGCAGCTGGAAGGGGATGAACCTTGGTGACAAATACTGCATCTTCTTCACCCCCACCTTCACTAAAGTCCATTGGAGTGGATTCTGTTACTTGTTCTTTACTGGGGAAATGGTTGTTTCAATACAAATGCAGACAGCAGAGATATAAGGGTTTGCTGCCAAAATCTGTCTCCTAACTAAATCAGTTGAAAATATATCATGAAAGGGCTGTCTTACACTTATGCCAAACAGGCCCTACAATTGATAAATTAGAGATAGGCAATGCCACAGATGATACATTATCTACACAGAATTTTCTCTATTTAGAAACCGAAGATTTACAAACTTGCATAACCGCATTTAAAATGCAAAATAAATGCATGCTTGATATAAGTTAAGACCAACAAACTCAGTATTTCCCACAAAAATTACTGTGCAGAATTGCATGATTAAAAAAATCACTGAAATCAAGGGCAAGAGCTCTCAAATACCGTGCAGAGTCCTAGAAAAATAATGCACTCATCCTGTGCAAATGGCACAGCTAGAAGTACAGGTGTCTGTGAAGGCTATTTAAAGTATTGACTTAATGAATTAGAAATGAAGAAGCCTTAAAATAAGTGCAGGTAATGGAAACAGTAGAAATTGGATGGAGGAAGAGAGGGGCCATAGATCTATTTTTCATGATTCTCTAGTAACAGGGAGAATCAAACAAAACCATCTGCAGTAGCCCCAGGTTTGGCTCCAAAGGGCTGAATCCATGACACAGTTATGGTTGACGGGATCCTCTTACAGAAATGAACCAGATAGGATGTGGCCGACGCACATTATTTGATTTCCACTTTATGACCTTACCAACATGTTTAGTGGGCAGCATGAAAAAGGGTTACAAATATAGGAGAAGAGAAAAATTGCATGAGGAAGCTGAACCAAGAACTTTCTTCATTTAATTTTAGCTCAAGTAAAATAGTTACTTAAACGTGCCAATTAAGCGTTAGTTCCAGATCAAGCAAAAAAATAACAAATAAACTGATTTTTATATGGTCTTGATCCCTTAATTGTCAGTGAAATATTCTTTCATACAGAAGAATGAGTTTCAAACAGACTCATTTCAATTAAAATTTTCTCCCTCTCTGAACATTGTACTACAAAAATAAAATCTTAAAAAGATAGTCATGTCCAAAGACTGCTTTAAAAAAAGGGAAAAAAAGTCGATTCCAAAAACTAGTTAGATTCCCATATTTCTCATTAAATATTTCTAGTATTCACAAATAAATAAAAATTTCTGTAGTATTATTTCCCAAAAATTTAATTCTTATTTTATGGAAGGCTTTAAATAAATTAATTTAAAATTACTTTGTGATTATTTTTGGGGGGAGGGCAGTTAAAAAAGAAAGAACGTTACTGGTCCACATTGCATTTTCAAAGAAAAGGTCAGCTCATGCCTAAATGTACAAAAGACTTCAATTTGAACATGTAAAAGGAAAAATTATCAGATGTCACAAGCATCATATGGAAGCAGGTTGAATCTTAGCTCTTTTGAAAATGTGGCTCCATCTGTGGATACTAGAATTTTACTCTGAGGAATTTACAGGTTAATGTACATTTAACACTAAAGAAATTCACAGTCTTTCCCTTGATAACAATATTCAAGGTGTGAAGGCCCTGAACCCCACTCCAAAGTAACTTTTGGTTTCCTTACATTTAGTTCCTTTCTTTTAAAATCCAGGACAGGCTACTTATTGTTTAACTCTTAACCCATTTTTCTATTGCATTGTTTGTACTGTAGGTCATCTCTTTAACTACTCACAGAGATTTCAGCTAACCCATTCTATTTGATCCTGGCATCCTGAGCAGACTTATAATGCAAATTGTGTCTCAGAAAGTATACAGATGTACAGAACATTTTGTCAGCAGTTTCTTGTAAAATTGATAAGACTGTATAATTTTGCCTACTGATGTAAAGCTTAGTTTGAGAGATTAAAGAGCACTTCCAGATGTTTAGTAAATCAGGATGTCCTATAAACATTTTTGTTTATCTGAGACACATTTTCAAAGTCACAAGGGGGAAGTAAGGAACCCAGCTCCCACTGAAAATCAAATATCACCCCCTTTATTACGAAAGCTGACATATTTCCTTTACAAATGATAATGTTCTTCTGTGGAGGGAAGGATTATTGAAAAAAAATGCATGGAAGAGCATTTAATAACACAGTTACAATTGTGATGTCTTAAAGATATAAAGTATAACAAGACAAATTTGTAGGAGGAGGTAGTATTTTCCACTAGCTCATCTGATACACTGGGAGGAAAAAAATTAACAAGCTTTCAGGCACACAGGAGTTTCTTCTTATCTTGAACAGAAGAGGCAAAACAAATTTGGAAGTGCAAACCACCTGTGACAACTTTTTGTCCTAAATCTATGTATGTGCAAGCACATTGTGCCCTTGTGATAGCACTATTAAGATCAAATATTCTTATACAACCTAAGGTTGACTATAGGTTTGGGTCTCAGCAAGAATCTTTCCACCAACTGTGGTGCCTGGGTTGATGTCACCTTGGTCCCTGTGTTTGGACTTGAGTTCTTAAGGCCACCACTCGCCAGTTCTTCAGTCTCCCAGTGACAGATTTATGATTTCCCAAGACTTAAACTCAGAGATGGGTCTCCTCTGCCGATGAGCTCTGGTAGCTCAAACTGAAGTAAGGGTCAGTCCAACTTGAGAATCCAAATAAAAGTCAATAAGAATTAGAGACAACAAGCAATAAGAAATAGTTCTGCTCCTGTGGGATCTCCTGTGTGATAGGAGGTTTGCAGTTGGATGCTGGATTAGGGGACCAGAGCAGCAGCGACAGTGTACAGGCAGATGGGTATAGCACAATATCTACTGGATTACTTCAGGAAGACTGGGCAGTAACAATGTTTATTAATTAGTTTTCAAAACAAAACAACAAAACAACAACAACAAAAAAGCCTTCAGAGTAAATTGTTTAAAAAATAGATTAATAGGATCATAATCTCCAGAGGAATTTTCTTTCCTGTCAGAGCTAAGCATATTCACTTCCAATACTTCATAATCCAGCTCATGAAGCTACACAGAGAACAGAGGAGCCAGTGCTGGTTGCACCACAAAGGTAACTAGAATCAGAGTATGCTTTATCACTCCCCAAAGACCGAGGCTATTCTGTTCCAACTTGCGGATCATTACACATATTTTATTAATCATTTATTTAATTATTTTAAAGTTTTTCCAGTGAAAGAGAAGTTCTCTTGAGTGTATGTGCCTTCACCACTCACACGTTTGCAATACAAGGAATACGACCCTGGCGGTGGTAAGCAGAAGGTTTGCACCAGAGTGCAACTCTCAAGACCTCGGGACGCTGTTTTTGGATCCCGGTGGGGCACAGGAGGGAGGCTCAGGCAGGGAATGCCCGCCGAGAAAACATCAGGTAGAAGTACGCATCTAACCACCATTAGCAGGCAGCAGGATGAGGATGACGGGGTTCAGGCAGCTCCAAAAGCAGGCGCACCGAACCCGTCCCCACACACCTC